CTTTTTATTTGATTTTTAAAACTTGATAATTTTTTTCTAATAATTAAGAATACATTTAAAGTGATATTACTAAATTACAACTATCTCAAAACTTTAAATATCCATTCAGTCAACTATCCATTTCCCTCGTTTTAAATCTCAAACTTGCTTTGATTAGAAAATGTCTACCTAATTCAAGTTTACTCTCAACTGGTTATAAGCTTCGTGAACCCACCCATGTCATCAATTACTATGTTCCTTCTAATTAAAAATATACTATATAGGCCAATTACTTAAAACCTAAACCATAATGCTATTTAAGTTTTATTTATTTTGTATTTATTTATGAGCTATTGTTGATTCTTTCCTTTTTTAATGTCGTAATCACACCAAATAATTGCAATTTTCGAAATACAAGCATATCCCAAAAAGAAAAACTGGTCTCCAAAAAGGAAAATATTAGTAATGCTAACTTAGCAAGCAACTCAGAAAGAGCGAAAAGAAAAGAAACCGAGGACTGACTTATTTAATTTAATTAACGCTACCATTGTTTTACGGAACAAAACAATCTGGTAGGGATTTGCATTGCGCCAGCTCGTTTTAATAAATAAGGACAAGTCAAGAGGTTTTAAGACATTTAATCATCATACTATCTTATTCCTTTTAATCTTTCATAAGACCAAACTGCCAAAAATGTCATTTAACGGTGTGGTTCCTGGTGTAAACATTAGTGGTAAACTTATCACCTTAAACGTTCAAATGCCTTTAAGGGATTTTTAAAATGTAGGGATTCATAATATTTACATTTATGATAAACAAGTTTATAATTGAAAAGTAATATTTAATTAAATGTAAGTGTTGTACAATTAGTGTAATGATATTAAATAGATTTAGTTTACAAGAAAATAATGCAACAAAATACATGGCATCTTTCTCCTTTCTCCTCTCTAAAACAAATATTGGCTTTTCTTTCTCACTCTAGATATACTTAATGCGTTTATAAAAATGAAAAGAATAGAAAAAACAATACCTACACAACAAAACTAAAAGGGAAAGGTCTTCATGGGCGGGGAGCCTATGCATGGACAGGGTTGCTGATTTCTGATTATTGCTTTATCCTCTTTTACATAAACGTGATATTGTTTATCTCTATGTATTAACATTTTATTTATTTTTTTGTATCCAACGTATAATGTGAAATGTTAAAGTAAAATTAATTTTATCGATACAGTAGTCTAGCACAGAAAGTTGAATTTTTAACTTTATTTTAGGTTGTTTTGTATTGTATGGTATAAAGTGTAGAGCCATTTATTTTATTTTTAATAAAAGCCTGAATATTCCTACTGTTCGTGTTGTTGAAGGATGTTTACTAAAAAAGCTAATACAATTATTATAATATTATTGTTTGATTGATCAACGTACGCATTAGCCTAACCTAGCAATTTAAGTTGTTCTAACTTTTTAAAAGTTTGAAATTTTTGTGTGATATTAATCGTTGAAAAAGAATTCTGTTTTATTACCTTAAGTCATGAAGATACCGCTTTGAGTATATTTAGACATAGTCTTATTGTAAACTTTTGTTTATCTAATTATTGCACTGTGCAGTATTCGGACATCACACAATTATTGGTTTAATACTGATATTATAATTGTTGTAACAATATAATTATTGATTTTTGTTGTTTATCCCGTGATAACACTTGTTTAGTGATTTCGCAGTTAATTATCTTAACAAGATAACATGTTGTTACAAGGTTTCGCCTTAATGAAGGCGACAACTTGGTTAATCTACCATGATGAAAACTTGATAACTCACCCTGAGAGTCAACCAAAGCCAAAGTGCTGCGGTGGACGGGTTAAGTCTTCCCTTTACTAACTTCCGTGCTATTAATATATAAAATCGTTAACTGCTAACTCAAGTTAGGTCGATTACTTTACACCCCCTTCAACAGCAAGAGATATTTTAAGTGGTTTAATTTTTAAGTCTAAACTATTGTAATTTTCGTACTTAACGAAAATTACGGTATAATTAATTACGGTATAAATTACGGTATAATTACGGTATAACACCTAGTGTTATACCAACCACACCTAATAATTATAACCTGACCTAACCTAAGGGTGGTTAGGTTTGGGATATTTTTTTTAAACTAAATAAAATCTTATTTGAAAGTTGATTTATCGGTGATGTTGGAATAATGCGTGTGTAGGTGCCGGAATTTCTTTATATAACTTTTGGTTGTAATCTTTTAACAAGACTTATAAAAAGTTTTGCTCTTAAAAAGACAAAAAGCCTTTTAGTTAAACTTAAAGGGCACTATCATAATTAAAGAGTGCCTTTTGAATTCATGTTTATTTTAAATGTGCTCTTTATTTGTAAAATTATTATACATAACGTATTAGTGACATTTAGCATACTAGAACATATTAATAGCTATAGAATAGCAGTAGTTATAGAAAAGGAAGCTTGTTTGAGGTTATCAGGTAATGCATAACCAACACCATTTACATAATATACTGAGAATGCAGAAGTGCAAAGAATATGCGTGTACAGGGTAGCATAATTTTGACATTTATTCACACTAAAAATAATTGCTGTGGTATTTTTTTATGGTCAGGTTCTTTTCTAATTAAATTAAAACTACCATGTAGCTTTAGACATACAGAAATAGTACGATATAATAATAGAATCTGTATGGATCATAAAACATGAACAAATTACGTCACTGGCCAAAATGTCTATACTTATAGCCGTAACACGTGGTTTAGAAATTGTTGAAAGCTATAACATGATCAAACTTGGTAATAAGTACCACTTAGTATATAATCTTACCACAAATTAACTCAACTGACTTATGTATGGATTATCAAACTAATGTTGCCAAAAAACTACCTTATCAGCTTAAGAAAGTAAAACACCCTTAACAGACTTAGCATACAAGTATAGAAAACCTAGTACAGTTAATCTTGGATAATTTGATTTATCCCTTATCAGACAACAAACAAATTTGACTATGGCATTCGTAGTTCCTCTTGATTTTATTAAATATTTCATGTATCACTCACCAATATCACAATATCTCATACATTGTATGCAATTCATATGAAACAGACTAAGCAGCTAACTAAATTCTATCAATACTGCAAACAATGTCAACGATACACTTGACACTTCCAATCAGGGTCGTTAGACCTAGCAAGGTAAACAAATGTGTGTTTTGTCACTTTTTCTATCTTTTCAAACACAAAGAGCTGCTTGAAGTAAATAATACCATTGACTATATATACCCACGAGGTATATATATCTGTAGGTATATAGTCAATGATAATACTGTCAAATGTTGTCAAAAAATTCCTATTCAAAATAATATATGGTTTAGGATGTACTTAGTACCGAGTCTTCTAACCTTCGAAGTAGAAAATTAATAAGCTGTTGAGTCTACTTAATCGATAAGTGCAGTAAAATATACTCCTGGGAATATATTTTACTTTAAAGCAAGTTATTTTGTCCTAATTTTATCTCCTATCTCAATAAATATACGCCCACTCCAACAGAGTTTTCATTTTTATTAAAATCATTTAGTAATCAAATAAATTCCGATTAATCTGTAAAATCCCTGGTGTCGATATCAGAACTGCTCATATTATTATAGTTAATGTTATACTGTTCTAGTCTAATTAATGTAATACTTCTTGTCAGACAGACTAAGAAAATGGTAAACGTGGAAACACGTTTAGAGACACTGTATTTAATTTTGCTATCCCTTTGATATTTTACATAATCGAATAAATAAACAGGAACTGCTTGGAGACTTAACCTATTGCTCACAGTTAATTATACTTTGACGTTAAAGTTAATTACTTTCATCCACTAATGAAGCCAAGGCAGTGAACCACATTCGGATCTATGAGAATGATTTGTAATTAACGGTTTGACATAGCTACTTAAGCTATCTCTACGTTTTTATATAGAGTCGTTAAAACCTCTTCTACAATAACTGTTTAAGGGAAGCTTTATTATTACATTTATAGCTTGATTTACAGACAAATGAGTTCAGTGTTAAGAAAATTTAAAGTCAGGAACAATCAGTAATTAAGACACCAAGGTTGAAAGACACCATAAAAAGCAATAATTTTAAACAATGAGAAAATGTAAGGGGGACATGGTCAGTCTAGACTAGAGTCTAGATCATTTAATGTAAGTAATGTCGAAGGAATAAAACATTTTTTGAGGTTTTTTTCGGTGCGTAGAGATTTTTACATTAAAGAATATGGATGTGTGGCCATATTTATTTGATTTAACTTATGCAAATTGTCATAATTGTAGGACTTAAAGTAACAATCTTGCATACTATAAATTCATGTATAATAATCTAGTCAGACTAGAATTATTGTTTTATATAGGTACCAATTATTTGTTTGTTTTATGCTTTTGGAAGTAAAGAGATGGGAAGTTGCCAGGTAGTCTTAATTTTGCTGGATTAAAAAAAACACTTTTTACTTGAGATGAAAAAACTAGATGGGTCAAAACAACTTTTACAAGTTTACTTTAAAGAGAATTAATAATAGTTAACAATAAAACAATTCTTAGCCGTTTACTTTGAATTCAATGCACGTTTTGGAATTGCCAATTTCGGATGGTAAGAGACGTGCTGCTTGCTTCAAGTAAAGCGTAAAAAGAGAAGGAGTTTATGAATATATATATTTACCCAGAGAAGAAAATGTACCCTTGATGGAAGCACCAATAAAACACTGTACAGCAAAAGTAGTCCCCTAATATTCCAGTTTAGTTAAGGAATAATAAATTTTAAGGATAACCCAAACTCTTTTTATATACCCTGTTTCAAGATGAGTGCAGGTAGCCTACATTACAGAGATAAGAAGAAGAGAAGAGAACAATGGTTCGGTCAAGCCTACAATGATGTCTCATTAGTCACTTCTCACTAAATTCTAATGGCAGTCTGCCTCTCCTAATGAGCTGCAATCTAAAGAAGCAATACTATGTATGATCTTGTGTACAGAAGCAGTATACTCTGCTGATGTGCGCTGCTCGCAACAACCGGTTGTCCGTGGTGAACTTCCTGCTGGACTCTCTGGAGCACATAGATGTGGACCTGGTAGATCAGGAGCGGCAGACGGCACTGCACCACGCCGCCCAGGCCGGCCACAGGGAGGTGGTCTCAAGGATAGTGCAAGCTGGTGCCAACACCAAACTACTTAATAAGGTGAGACTGTGCGAAAGGGGTGGGATTATGATCGTGCAAGCTGGTCCCAAAGCGAGGCAATTCCCAAAGCGTGTGCTTTTCAATATGGGAAGAATCGGGCGTTCGGACAAACCCGATAACCAGACTAAAAAATATTAAAACTCTGACTCTTTAGGCTTAGCTTAGAAGCATGGCCTAAAACATCCTCGATTTGTTGTTAATTGATTCGTCCTAAAGAACAAATACATAAAATCTTTTCATTGTGTCCGAATACACCCTGTATAAATACATCTGCAAACGCCACAAAACATGACTTGTAACTCCACCAATACTTTGCAGCAAGGTCGGACAGCTCTGCACATGGCTTGTGAGAAGGGTCACTTAGACGTCGTGGAGTTCCTGCTCAGACACGAGGCTCAGATTGAGGCGAGAGACGAGGAGGGAAACACACCATTACATCTTGCGGTGGAAAACAAACACCTGATGGTGACTCAACTTCTGCTGGAGTACGGCACACCACCCGACGTCGACAACCAAGTAAGTATCTGCATTGAAGACATCGCATCTACAGTATATGGGACAGCTGTAGCCTTGAGTTTCTCAGAGAGAGTCCTAAAGTCTGAAATTAAATAGTTTTGTTACTAAGTTAATTAAAGTTACATAAAAGATGATATGGGTTAAAAAGTTTTCCTTTCATTTTGACGTAGTTTCAACCACAAAAACCAAAATTGGGAAAGGTGGACGTATCCGACAAAAATTAGCAATTTGTTAACGAGATGTTTTGATGAGTAGTTCTACCATAAGTCAAAGGCATCGGTATCAGTGTTTACTGAAGTTACTTGCAATTCCTATGATTTTTTCCTACCTATTCTAAATCTTGGTCTACCAAATTTGGTTCTAGTATAGTACCTTATTATTGTGAGATAGTACCAACAGATTTGGAAGAGGAGTGAAAAATCGTAGGAGTTTCAAGTAACTTCAGCAAACACTGATACCTTTGACTTATGGTAACAAATACCCTGAAAATACCAAACCGCGTTCACGTAAATAATTGTTCTTTATTGTTTTAACTTTTATCACGGTATACTCTTAAATCATAAAAATATGGTGTGGAGGATCAAAAAGGTGTTAGTCTTCCTCTCACAGAAATTTGTAACGTCATAATCGGTGTTCACCCTTTTACTCATAACGTCATAACTTTTGCACATTTCCCTGTTACAGAAAGGTATGACTCCGCTGCATGTTGCTAGCAGTCTTGGCTGTCGCGGTATAATTGACACTCTACTACAGTATGGCAGTGATGTCGACAAACAGAGCAAGGTAAATAGTGATATTTCAGTTTCAGTTTCATCCTTTTATTGATTTCCCTCAAGGGGTACATCAAAAAATAGATTTACAAAATCAATTACATGCAAAATAACCAAGGTTGGTAAATGATGATAAAATAGTGATATTTAAAATCAGAACACAAATATCTTTGTGTACAATGACATTCAAGTGCATCTTATTGAGTTTTAGCTCATTAGGTTACTTATACATTGTATTTACTGATCAATGTTAACTGTGATTACAACTTTTAAAATAGAACTTACGTTTCAGAACGGCAACACTCCTCTTCATCAGGCCAGCGAAGCCAACGATTGTGAAACCGTAGAGCTGCTCATTGCAAAGGGAGCAGATCTCAATGCACTCAATGCGGTGAGCTGCGTAACCAAAATATTTCAAATACAAAAAGAGTGTTTTATATAAATTTATGTAGACATTTTATGGTTTTGGACCTTATCAGTAAGATTCAGGCTGGTTTTCCGAAAAAGGAAAGTTGCGTTCAAAGATACGAAATAATGAGCTAAATAATACAGATTATGAATATCAATAAACTAATGGTATAAATAACAGCGAAATGTGTTACATGAAAATAAAACCAGAAGGGTATTTTTGTGAATACAAATTTACAGATAAAAGGATTATGACACAGTGTTCATTCTGCATTGCTAGTTCGTATCCAATTCAGAAGTGCATATGAATATTTAAATAAATCAGTCGGAGCTCCACTTTATAAATACAACCCAACAATCATCTGGAAAAGAATTAATCATTATTCTTGGATATTGAATAGAATTTTCCATATACATCGCTATCAGTTATTGTATAATACTTTAAGCGAGGAAAGAATTTCAATGGAAACTATGTGGGTACTTTTGGTGAAAAACTCATTCATGCTACACAATGTTTTCCCCTGACGAGCGGAGTGATTTTACCATCGTACGTGAGGTTTAACTCATTCCTTGTTTTAAACATGTTGAACCAATTCTTTAAAACAAATTTATTGTACAGTATTGTTATTTTTTCCAATCTTGAAACTGCGAAACGCAATTCGGTTGGATATTAGGTTTACTTATAATTAATTACTAATTGCTCTATGTGTTTCTTGCAAATTGTTAATATATATCTATCTATGATTGAAATATCACTCGTGATTTGTTATGTACACGAATTCCAGAATCTTTCCTAGTGAATTTTCTATTTGCCGTTGGAAACGTCGTTTGCCTGTTTCGTTTGCATTGTTTGATATTCAATCATCAGCAGTCGCAATTTACGTTTTAATTTATTTCCTATCTCTGAAGATAACCTATAATAGTTAATAAACTTACTCTATTTGTGGTTTAGTAAAATTTTAATGTATGGTTACATAATTTCGCCAATGATCCGGAAGATATCAACAAACACTTTATCATAAATTGATATTACATTTTCTACTAAGTAAATTACATCCATTATTATTGAAAGGTCAACTTATATTAAATGGGTTGACATAATCAATACTCTAAATGTCACCAATCCAATTAATGTCGCGACAACTAATTCGTTAAGGGCTCTTGTTCTGTTTTGTGTGACGTTTAAAAATATAGTCGTATTTTCTATATACTGTCCTGAATTCAGAGATAAAATAAAAATAAAAGATAGTGGTTTTAAAAAATATTTTTTTATATTTTATTTCCTTTTTGGAGTACTGAGTAGTATCGTAGCTTAGTCCATAACTCAATGTTTTGAATGTGTCGTCATGTGTGAAACTAAGGTCTCAATCTTATGGTATGAACAGAAAAACTGTATTTTGACATGCATATTATGTTCTGTTATTGTTACAACTGAATGTAAACACATATTTGGTCCATTTGACAAACAATAAATTCATCTTTCTCAACAAATACTGTAAAAGTCCCAATATATCCGTTATACTTATCCAATGTCGATACTGTACCTTACTCACATTGTCACACAATGTGTTAACGGATTCAGGAACCTCGCCCATGTATAAGTAAACATGATACCAACTACACGTAAATGCAAGTCTTTTAGACGACAATAACACTCTCAATTAAGTGTTTGGCATTTACATTCAGCCTGTATTTTTGTTCATTAACCAAAGTAAGTTGACCAGTCCTTACTGGTATTAGCAGAACAGATACTGTATTAGCTTTAGATTCTGTAGAAAATAGAGTTATAAAAAAATAATAAAAAAACATACTGACTATCAGAGATATTTTATCATGGATAGATTATTCGATGGTATAATTATTAAGTTATGGTTTGTACGAACTATTTTCTAGTGGAATCAGATATTTTTAATAAATTTTAAAACATTTTGACAGAGACAGTAAAACTTTTACATTGTTTTTGTGTCATTTATATTATTTCGGGTGTATTACCAGTGTCATTACCTAAAGTCAGCAGAGCTTTCATTCCCTAGAGAACGCTAGCGGAGACTGTAACATTAATTATTCTCTATGTTTATGGGGAAACTTTCAGCTCCCCGACTCTAAGCGGTAAATGCTTGCTTTGTAATGTTAACTTGTACCAAACTCTTGCATTTACACTGAAAATTGTATAATAGTTACAGTTAAGTCGACACTTTCTTTGGATAGCTAAAAGAAATAAGATTCTGTGGATGGCCCAAGAATTTTCATCATTTCGCAGTTCTTAGATGGAATTTTAAAACTTATTTAGACTCTGTTCGTTTTAACTGTCCATTTAAATTACCTTTAACGAAAGGAAAAAAATATAGGGAAACATTCGTGTCTTTAGGCTACACCCCATCAGAAATCGATGGCGAAATTCCAGAGATGGTGAAACGAACTAATTTCTGTTGATTCTCTCACGTGTGATTTTACAAATTTTCAGTTTAACTCTCTCTCTCAAATATGTATTTAGATTGTTCAGGAAAACTGTTCCAAAATCGAATCAGTTTGACTAAGCTCCGGGCATGTGAGGAAATAATTCACTCTGAAACCCCTTTGATCTATCAAATAATCTGCATTTATACTTTACATTTGTTTTTACTGTGAAAATAATTAGTAAAATTATCAATGTGATACTACGTGAGAGAGCAGAACTGATTGTGCGTTGTTGGTTGTACTTGAACCTTAAGGGATTTTCTCAACAAACTACTTCATTCATTTGTCAACAGATTTTTTTCGTTACATAGAGTTTGAAATGAATTTGTCAGAAACAATACGTTCCTGTGATAAGGTCACAATTTGACCTTAATATCTTTAAAACTTGCATAATCTAATAAAGAATTTTATTTTATTTCAACTTTATACATATATAATCTCTTTAAATAACAACGGATAAATTTCCATTACAAATGTAGGCAACTAAATGTAAAAACTCTTAAGATATAGCTTACTCTATGCTCTGGTAAAATTAATAAGAAATACATAGCGCACATAGAACAAATTATGATATATGACTAATTATATCCAGTTATATCCAGTCGGTTATTCCAGTTGTGTGTTGAAATTACAAACGCGTGTCAAGGGTCCAGATATTTCGCTATAATTGTAATTGTCAGATTTTAAGCTGAGGAACATTGTACGGTTTGATGAATCATGATACTATTTTACATGACGCATATCCGTAAGTGGGAAATGTCAATTGATTATTTTTCCTAATGAAATACCACAGTGTTTATCAGACAGGTTTTCCTAATTGTAAAGGTGGGTTTTAAAGCGACCCTCTACACACTTAACCAAATAATTTGTAACGGGATTTTCAACAAATAGATTTGCAGAACGCTTGATTCAAAGGGTTTCAAGGCTTCAAAGTTTACAACTAATCATGGAATTGTATTCAAATGTTAATGTTACAGCACACGTTTGTAGTAGACAACGCACTTTTGTTTCTACTTTTGTTTACACTAGGCCTGATGCACCTGCTAGCATATTTACTAAGTGCTAAAATATTCACAAGAGTAACTTAAAAGTTTCCTGTTGCACCTAGAATAATGTTAAACTCTAATTAATTAGCTGACGTAAACGCCAGAGCAACTGTATTTGTGCCCCAAGGGTCTGAGATACGAACTGGGAGATGAATTATTCCCCAGGCTGTGAGCAGCATCCGACTACCTCTCTCTTGTGTTTAAAACAGTTTTATTTGGAAGGTCTCCATTATTTGATAGGGAGATAAAAATTGTTTACATTATAAATTTATATCAAAAAAGTATATTTTTGCTTTGATTTTAGTGGAGTATTCTATTAGAGAGGGTTTCTCACATTCCGAGTAAGAAAATGATATTATAGTTACGTGGAACAACAGCTTCAGAAGGCTTTTAAACCACTGGGTTCAAGGTCTTGGCACATAAACATCCAGTGGTGATTGGCCGGAGTAGAACCTTAGCCCCCGCGACAAAAATCCTTTGCTATGTCTTCCTTACTGTACAGAATCATCAATCCTGTGGTGGAACCAACCAATGACATAAATCAAAAACTAATGAATATTTTATAAATGGAAAATCTCAAAATATACTATGATTTTGATTAAATTTGAACTTCGTGTTTGCAGTTCTGTTTAACTTGAAACAAAAAGTCAAAAAGTTGCCAGACAAGATGTTTTTATATCTACTATGTCAATGTTAAATATATCATTTCAACACTCAATTTTAGTGAAACAAATAAACGTTTCCTTAACATATTTAAATCAGCTCATTTTAACAAGAAAAATTAATTTAATTGATGACATACAGGTCATATGGGTTAGTCACAGACCACTGGGTGTTCTCAAGTAGTTACACTGAATGTTCTACCATACCGCAAATAAAAATGAAGAAACAATTCCAAAGAACAATACCTACTGGTTTTACATAATATACACAGGTTTTGTTTGCATCGAACTACGGTAGGTTCGCCCAAAAAAATCATTACTTTTATACCGCAATGAACCATTTTCATTTCAAATATTTATTGGTTTAGTTTGTGAACGTGGATTTGAAGCGGAATTTCTACATATAAATGGCTGTCGGATTACCGATTTGCTAAGCAATAAAGTCAATTCAAACTATTCATCATAGCAATGCATAATACAATACAAATTTGTAAGTACATAATCACAGAAATGTCTAAATCTTTAACCCTCCGAGTGTCCCTAGTTTTGGTCTTAATGTTTGCCTATTTTTTGCGCATTTGCAAGGTTTTATTAAAACGGATCTGAGAAGCTTAAAAACAATGTTAATTATACTGTTCTATATACCATTTTGTTTGGAAAATCATGGGCTTCAATATTATACATAAAACATAAGGAACATTTGTTTCAAAAAAAATTTTTAGGTAAAAAAAAAATTTGGAAAATTAAAAAAAAAAATAAGTTTGCGCTCAATGAAATTGTATACATTATAGGCCTATAAATATTTGAAAATAGCCACTTTGTTCTAAATTTTATGAGGATTACAAATGTATAATAATATAAGGAAGTAGATTTGCAAATAAATAAGTTATGGGCAAAAAACAGATTTCAGTACATAGCGTTTAGCTAAGAATGCATAGCCTAACCAGAGCTAGGAATCTGGCTGATAATTTACATCAATATCATTACTTCTTCAGGATCATCAACCAGCCCTTCAAAATCACTTAAATCTTCTTATAATGCACCACGTATATCACTACTTTTGATTTTTAACACTAAAACAATGATAAACGTAATAAAACACATCAGTCATCGGTGCGATGTTAACCAAGCTGTTTGCAAATACGCACGTCAGCTGTCTGCTACAATCAAGATCGGCTCGAGAGAAAATAGCGCTTAGAGACAGACCTCGGGAGAAAGCTTAGAATCTGCCAAATAAAACGATACCTAACTCGATCCAGTTCAATCCGATTTTGTCAGTCATAGAGCCTTCGCCGTAAACAGTGTTTGTGAGTCGAAAATCGACACAAAACACTACACAAAGTGTGTTATGTGTCGATTTTTCGACACATAACACTTGGAGGGTTAAGGCTGTTGCAGTTAAAGATCGTGGCTATAATAAAGTTGCCAACCGTTTAATAAAACTGAGGATAATCTGAAGGAAAATGCAATGTTTGTTATCTAAAGACAAAGTAGCCGTAAAAACTAAAAGAGTAACGTAGCTGGTGCTGTAATGAAGTAGCTAATATAGCTCCAGAAATTTTACTTTAACTTTAAGTACTTGCCAAATTATCATTTTCCCATTTTCATAGTAATTCTTTCGATAAAATAGCAACTTAAGAAGCAATGAACAGAAATGTCGTTTCCTGATAACGTTAATATAAAACTATGGCTTCTATTTCGACCTATTTTTTAGGACCATATCTTTCTCTGACTGTTATTAATGCTCTCCTTAGTAAGATATAGATAGTTTGCAATTCTATTAGATTATCTTTTGTGCTGAACAGCCTAAATTGTGTTGAAAGATTAATTTATTTTTACTTTAAACTAATATAACTTTCTGTATGGGCTATGCAATTTTGTGAGTTGTATTGTTCATCTGAATTCACTGCTTGGCCACTGCTGGCTTCAACAGGTATTTTTGGTGCAAACAGTAACAACTTGTTTTCAATTCTTGCGTCGAAAAGGTTGAGTATTTTTCCTAGGTTAAACAGAACTAGCTGGGGTCTTAGACATCAACTGTACGTTTTCCCTTTGTAGAGCGATTTTGAGAAGTAACCATTTCCAGATAGATCAGGTACAACCATATTATAACAGTTTATTTATTTACTGCCGAGTTACAATATTTTAATAGAATCAATATCTCTTTATCGATAATTAGACATATATACAAAATTAAAAACCCGTTCAGTAATGTTTCTTAATTCGTTGACCATGTATACGTACGATACAAAGTTCTTTCGAGGTAACATACAGGTTGAAAACATACATAGGTCATTGCTGTTTTTATATAGAAAAATAAGATGAGAGAAAATTTAAAGTAGTTTATTATGATAAACAACGTGCAGCATTCCCATTTGGGAGTTTCTTTGCTAAAAAATAGTGCAATATAAAGACTTTAAATTAAATAAAACAATACAATACAGTTTGCTACTATCGAGCAACAAAATGCGTGATGAAACTCAATATTGGAACAGTCTTGCAATATGATGTAATATGAAGGTAGGGGGTAGTGGTAACATAATGACACACCACCATTGTGCCAAACTGATGTTCATGATTCGATAAAGATAAATTTATCTTTTCCGGTATGAATAATCATCATACAAATGGGTGTTAAAATTATTGCTAGTTTTAACATCTTAAATGGGACCATCCACATAGTCTGAAATCCTTACTTTCTGATGTATCTTTTTAGAAATTCAAATTAGCTTATGATTTAATAGGATACGATTTTAAATTATTTAAATGGTATACAGTTGATAACCAGAAATTTAATATTAATTCTTTTAAAACTGGCAAACTTACAAATATTTTCAAAATGTTATTGGTTTATTTTTCCAAATAATGAAAATCGTAATTCAAACTAAAGCAACAACCTAGTATCAAATAAAACATTTGCATTATAAATTAATTTTTAAAATGTGAGATTTAATTGTTAACATAAAAGACAGTTACAAGTTACAGGTTAATGTAACGTCAAACTAGTTACAAACAGGTAACTCTGAAGAAACTCTTTCTCTTTCCAATAAGTGTCAGTAGAACTTGTGAGATTTTCGATTTATACCTTTGTCTCCAACCTTCAATTCAAGTAGCTATTTAAAGCTTTATTTATTTTCTTTACAATCATTATCAATTACATCATAAAAATCAATATTCGTCGCACTCACATCTTGTATACAATAAGTTGTTGCAAACCGTCCAATATGATTTACTAACAAAACATAGATGTGCTATATTCTTATTAGGTTTTACAAACTCCCCCATTTTAAAATTTTCTTGATATAGTGTTATTATTGCAGGTTTCTTTTGAAAATTAAATTAAATGTGAATCGAGATACAGAAAATTTAATTTTCTTAGTTAACTCTAACTTCAACCTTCCTGTTAACTTGTTATAGTTTTAACAATGAATTGTTCTACTCATAGCCTTAAATCAAATCCGAAAATCGTTCTATACACATTCAACATAAGAGACATAAGAGAGCTGATCAAGTATTACACTATAAAAATACCTATCAAAGACTTTACCCATCTATTTCATATAGTTCAAATCAATTCAAATATTTCTACTGTTTACGTTTTAATTCTCCTAAATTCAACGTAAATGCAATATTTTGACCCACCAGATTTTCTGACGGCGTTTTTATTCATCATAATGGATCAAAATGGATCAAATGGCCATTTCAGTTCACAGGCCGTCCAGCAGTCATTAATTATATATTATATTATTCCTGATGAGGATAATAATTCTATTTTTACTTCCGATAACTGACTAAGAAGAAAAAAAGAAACTTTTCCGTTCAGTTTTATAGGTGAGTGATTTCAGAATATACTGTAATATGGTGGTTTTGTAAATATTTAACCTCCTCATATTATCACAAATACCAAAAGAAGATTGATTAACGTAAAGGCAAGTAACGTCGTAACAAATCTCCTTTGTAGAATTAAGCAGGGCCTGAGTTATGAGCGTAATATATTCCGCGTTTGGAAGCGTGGGTTTTCTTTGTAATTTTTCGATAAAAGTTTATATTTACTAAATCGGAATAGCTAGCCATAATAAAGCTATCCATCTGATAACTTGTATGATCATATTACAGGTTATTTTGTTGATTCAACTGTACACATTAGGATTTCACTAGTATAGCTATTTACCAAAAAAAGAACCTCTTAACCTGGCTATCATTAAAGTGTTTGTTTTGGCTTACTGTAATTTTGAGTTTAACTGTGTTCTAGAGGCTGCAATCTCCTATCCATATAGCAGCAGAGCATGGTTTCACAGATATATGCAAAGTTCTACTAGCAGCTGGAGCAAACATTGAGCAGAGGGAACAGGTACCTAATCATTTAAGTATTATTCATTAAGTCAGTTAAGTGCAATGTTTTACTGATTGACTTTTCTGGGTGTGGTAATTATAAATACACCCACAAAGAAGAAATCACAATATCTTTAATATTAAGGTCAACTAAGCTGAATTGAAGTTTCTCTTTGGTCTGAGTTTATGAAATGTTGTTTGGCACCAAATTGTAATTTTAATTGTAAATTTTATGATGCTATGAAACAATTTGCCTCCTTATTGTGTTCTCTTGGATGTATCCAATCTGGTAGAGTAATAAACTTATGTTTTATACATTAATTAACTCCTTTTAGACAGAGCTAGAATGGTTTGTGGGAGGGTAATGTCTCTATCTGGTAGGTTGCTATAGTATGAGCGAAGCATAACATCAATCGCTTGTTCCTTTGATTCTTATATTTGTTGAGGAAAGGTAGTTTTGTTCTGTCTCGCGTTAAACTTATTTCAAGACACACATAAACTATACGATATTTACAATATTAAATATCCCTAAGGGCTAGATGAAGATGCTGCGTACGTATATGTATATTTAAAATGTAAGTATCCGTATTTTTCTTTCTACAAAATGTAATTTATTGTGTATCTGTAGGGTGGGAGAACACCTCTGTATATAGCTGCTAGAGGGAGCTTCACTGCTATTGTGGACATGATCATCAGAACGGCTCGGCTAGACTATCCGGAGCCTGTAAGTATCCAACCACTCCACTCATCATGAGTTGCACACCACCACACCACAAAACACATACTAGTATGCCTATCTACTGTTTGCATACTGTATTACCGTTGCTCACTGTAATTTTGTTGATATTTTTAGCAAACTCTTCTTTTTACTGACTATGCCACTTGCATGATTGGGTGATTAAATATCATTGATAATTGCAATCAGGTTTTGGAAGTTGGTTGTTTCACTGGTTAACCTAATCACCCTTAGCAAGTTTTTATTTTGAACCATTAGCACAAAGGCCATTTTGCACAACCTGCATAGCTAATAACTAAATTAACTTAATGTTAGAATGAGTGCTCTTTATGCGTTACAAGGTGGTTTAAAGCTAGAGGCATCTCAAAGTTTAGATAATTAACTTTTAAAAATAAAAGTAGTTTACATCCAATTGCCAATCATATGGAGATAAAAGAGATTTCAAAAAAGAAACAAACAATTCGCTGAAGACCATTTTTTCAAACGTGACCTCTTCAATGTTAGGTTGCCCTATTCTGGTTATATTTTTTAAGCTTCGGCAATAAAATTCTTTCTAGCTTAAATACAACTAAATCAGTACAAGAGAATAGTTAATTTTTTTATTTGCTATGGAAAGGAACCCAACAGTTTCCTCAAAAAATTTTCAAAAATACAAATACAGTAACTCTAGAATCTAAAATCAAGAACACGATTCTATTACTCATGTGATTTTTAATATAAGTATGGTTTCCGTCTATTTTCTGTAATTAAAATAAATAACAACCAAATGCTTTAGTGACCATGGATGCGATGGAGGACATTTAATATATAATTTCACTTCGTTTGCATGAAAAAATCGGGTAAACAAAAATGTAATGCAACGATCTATAAGCAAAGCGGTTTGATGATTTGCAGAAGAATAGGTCACTGCTAAATATCTATATTGTTTTTTCTTAGTGTTCTTTCCCATCCACTTAACTTCCCGATTGTAAATCCCAATTTTAACATACTTCTATGCTTGGTACTATACAGTTCGCAGATTTTACCTCAGAATATTTTATAACATTGGTGTCACTTTTAACATACACACTCAGCACAAAGATGTGTAGGCGGTTCGGGCCTAGGGCAGGCCAGAGTGTGACTCTGAGGGCAGTGCGGGGTTGCAGGAGGAGAGTGCGGAGGCGGGACACCAGAGTGCAGCTCGGAGGAAGTGGAGGCTACAGAAGGAAGGGCGCGGGAGTGTAGGGGAGACGAACGACAGACTCAAACAGGTGTTGTGGAAGTTGGCGCACAAACAGCTGGACGCTGCGGACTGGAAGAGGCTTGCGCATCACTGGGCGTTCACGGAAGAGCAGATCAAGGCGATAGAGCACCAGTACACAGGTACGTTCGGTGAGTTAATCTACTGATTATATAAACCTATCCATACCAACATCAGTGGGCCTTATACAGAAGAGCAGATCAAGGCGATAGAGCACCAGTACACAGGTACGTTCGGTGAGATAATCTACTGATTATATAAACCTATCCATACCAACATCAGTGGGCCTTATACAGAAGAGCAGATCAAGGCGATAGAGCACCAGTACACAGGTACGTTCGGTGAGTTAATCTACTGATTATATAAACCTATCCATACCAACATCAGTGGGCCTTATACAGAAGAGCAGATCAAGGCGATAGAGCACCAGTACACAGGTACGTTCGGTGAGTTAATCTACTGATTATATAAACCTACCCATACCAACATCAGTGGGCCTTATACAGAAGAGCAGATCAAGGCAATAGAGCACCAGTACACAGGTACGTTCGGTGAGTTAATCTACTGATTATATAAACCTATCCATACCAACATCAGTGGGCCTTATACAGAAGAGCAGATCAAGGCAATAGAGCACCAGTACACAGGTACGTTCGGTGAGTTAATCTACTGATTATATAAACCTATCCATACCAACATCAGTGGGCCTTATACAGAAGAGCAGATCAAGGCAATAGAGCACCAGTACACAGGTACGTTCGGTGAGTTAATCTACTGATTATATAAACCTACCCATACCAACATCAGTGGGCCTTATACAGAAGAGCAGATCAAGGCAATAGAGCACCAGTACACAGGTACGTTCGGTGAGTTAATCTACTGATTTTATAAACCTATCCATACCAACATCAGTGGGCCTTATACAGAAGAGCAGATCAAGGCAATAGAGCACCAGTACACAGGTACGTTCGGTGAGTTAATCTACTGATTATATAAACCTATCCATACCAACATCAGTGGGCCTTATACAGAAGAGCAGATCAAGGCAATAGAGCACCAGTACACAGGTACGTTCGGTGAGTTAATCTACTGATTATATAAACCTACCCATACCAACATCAGTGGGCCTTATACAGAAGAGCAGATCAAGGCAATAGAGCACCAGTACACAGGTACGTTCGGTGAGTTAATCTACTGATTATATAAACCTATCCATACCAACATCAGTGGGCCTTATACAGAAGAGCAGATCAAGGCAATAGAGCACCAGTACACAGGTACGTTCGGTGAGTTAATCTACTGATTATATAAACCTACCCATACCAACATCAGTGGGCCTTATACAGAAGAGCAGATCAAGGCAATAGAGCACCAGTACACAGGTACGTTCGGTGAGTTAATCTACTGATTATATAAACCTATAAACCTATCCATACCAACATCAGTGGGCCTTATACAGAAGAGCAGATCATGGCTATTGAACACAAGTACAAAGGCTCGATAACTGCATACCGGATTAATGGATTGAATATACCAACGTATGTACGATGTATGTAAAGATCGCATGGAATTTTACGTAAGAAATTCTCTATTTTAACTGTTAAAAACAATGCAGTTCCAATTTCCTCAAGTAGTATCAATGTATGTAGTTGAAATCATTCTAGTTCTATAACCATTGAAAACATTTGAAGTAGAGAGCTTTGTAATTCACTAGTGTATTATTTACGATTTTATTAATTTAATAAGTGTTCGATGGATATCGAAAACTAAGTTTTTTCTTTGGAGTCATGATTAAGCTCTTATACAGTCCATTATGTTATTTTAAATCAGAACAAAAGTTTAATTTATATAAGTGTTTTGTGGTTTGAGTTTATCATAATTAATACACTAATTGTTTTTATTTCTACATTTAAAATTAATATTGAATACATGAAAAGTACTTAAAATTCTATTCACTGGCTATAATATTTTCATATTTACAAATATTTGTCATGGATCAATAGATTCGTGATGCATAGCCAGTATTATACACAATTAACGGGTTTGAACTACGTTTAATATATAGATGATTTGTTTTGTGTCTATTTAATTCAGCCAACCCCTTAACATATTAAAATAATACATCACTCCCAACTAATATTCGACATGTTTTTTTTTTATTTGAGATGATTTAACACCCCGTATTTAAATAATCTAGCTCTTTTAAACCAATATCTGAGACAAGCATAATACTTTTATAAATATTTTGCTTCCCCATAATGCTTTCAGGGCCAAACAGTCACAAGGATCACGCGTACAGGATGTTAGTGATATGGAGCGAGGGGTTGAACCAGGAGGTTAATCCTGTCAAAAGCCTGTGTGAAGGCCTTTGTGCGATAAACAAGAAGAGTCTAGCAGGTAAATATGTTCTTGTTTATATTCGATTTATCAAATATACAGTCTCTGTCGCTCATCAAACAATGCTTACCAGTCCAAATATATGTAGTAAGTTATCTTGAATATTGATCCTTGTTTTCATACACATTTTTGCTTATGCATAAATGACTAACTAATCTATTCTATCAGTATTGACATTGCATCCAGGCCTTAACGTGAGATTTACAATCAACACGAAGACACTTTATTTCCTTTAGGTCCAATAACGTTCAGCGTAAAGTATTGACATATTGTATTTAAATTCACTTTCAATAACTGAGTGTTTTGGCTGAATAACTCTGTACCGGTACGTCATCCATACCTCTTGAGTCATGAGATGATCTATTTAGGCTATTGAAATAAACCCTTAAATATGGTTTGTATTATAATCTTATTTGGTTAAACAATAATAATTACAAGGACAGAGGCTTTAAAATACAAGGTTTAATGGTACATAAGTTAAATGGTTAAAATAGGGTTACAAAAATTGTTCAGGGGTGGGGATTCGTGCTGGCCGAATTATTTTCAATAAGTAAGTTATGGTAAGTTTTGAATTAAATAATCTTTTAGAAACAATGAGTTAAATAGGAAGGATTTTGATTTTAATTAAGAGAGGTAAATTGGGTCCAAATGAATGCTTGAAGAGTCTAGTCTGAGTCAATAACTTAATAAAAATGGAATGTTCTCACCAATCTTCTGTAATAATAATTTTCTTCTTAGTTTAAAGGCTTAAATTCTTCTTTCTTCAGTAAAATTTGGAAATTTTGACACTACTTTCTTTTATAATATGACAATTATTTTCACAATTAAGAGTTTAAACTTTTATGTTCTTCTTGGATGCTTTTACACTGCACACTCCTTTTCATTGTTGTAAATCATATCAAGTTATGGGGTTCACATAAATAAAAACATGGTTGAATTTTATTAATAATCTTGAACCCAGATGGATGGTGTTCTGATTGGAGGATTTGTTTTTGAATAATAATTTTTGAATAAGCCAATGAATAAATTTTTGATTTTAAATTATATATATGTTGAGACAATATGGTTTTAATAATATTAACAATGGACATGGATAAATATTGAAAATATAACAAGATTGAGTTTGGAATTTAAATAAGGACTATAATTATAAACAATGAATTTTGAGTCATTACACTATTCATAACAGAAGAAAAGAACGGGTTTTTACTTTACTTTTCCTTTTTGTAGAGTCCATCAAGAAAAAGATGAACGAAGACATTGACCTGCCTCAGAAGGACGGGCCAAAATGTTGTACGAGATGTTCGGTGTTATAGTTTTTGCGGCCCTGGCACCAGACTGTCCCAGCAGTACCTCGCCTGAAAATTCCTTTCGACATTTCTTGCTATTCTATTCGATGTCCTCTCTCGACGTAAGACTACAGCTGCATTTATCGTTGTTATCAGATATGTCACTATTTGTTTTTAACTCTTTAATGGGAACAAGATGTTTCCAAAAAGTCTTCCTCATGATTCTGAAGATAATGTAAGGAGTAAATGTTTTGATGTATTAAGGCATTTTTCAGTTTTGCATCAGTGTTAACAAAATTTAAATGTAAATTGGGATATGTATTTTCATAAATGTTTACACAGCCATAATTCAGCCGAAAAATATTTAGTCAAAAAATATTTAGTTAGGATGTAAAGCTCACAATCAATGCCTTTTGTTTGGTTTCAATACAATTCTCGAAACTATTTTTGTTATAATATTTTGTATAAGATACGATTTAAATCATTTTGGATATTAGTCATACACAACTTATACGTACAACCTAGATTGAACAATCAATTATTGCTATTTTAAAATACAACTTGGGTCTTCCATCAAGGATTTTTTAACTATAAATGACCGGTTTAAATTACGTTTGTATCTAACAATCTATCAGTTACTTAGCACCGACTGATGCCACGACCAAAACGTAGAAAACATAGAGATTTTAAGGAATAATAGTTGATTACTTTAGAAATATAAATCTATAAGACTGTAATAATATTTATAGTAATAAAGTGTTTAGCTAGTCGCACTAATAATAGCATTTTGTGACATATCTATAGAGAAATTTACTATTTATAACATATAATTTATAATACGATTAGCTTTAAAAGTCTAGCCTTAATAGGTATTTTAAATACATTAAAGTAAAGTCAACAAGACAAATATCTAAAACCCTCAAGTGTAAAATCAAGACTTGCATTGAAATATTTTTTTTTAATTCATTTGGTTTGTTAGATATAATTTCTAAAAGTATAAGTGTTCTTCAAGCAAAGCTTGAAGTTGTTCAAACATTTTGTAAACAAAAACAAGTTTCAACACTCAACAACCACCAATTCGTTTACTCCATTTCAAAGTTTAAACAGTACATCACACACGAAACTAGTATGTAAATTAGTTTTGTATCTAAATGTAATTTAAACTTGTGTGTAAAGAAACTATTTTAAATAATAACTGGTCAAACTGTACTAATATGTATTAATTGCATTGGGTAATACTTTGCAATGAAGATTATTTCCCTAGTTAAATATTTGGTTTATATAACTATCTAATAACAATACAGATTTTGATATTGAGGTGAAACAACTTTATTTGTAATAACTATTAATTTGTTCAGAGACATAAACCTCACCAAATATGATTTATCTTCTGATTTAAATTTTACAATTTTAAATAGATTTGGGAAAATATTGAGTTATGAATTGTCAAACTTAAATGTTATTTTTCCCTCCAGTCATTTTCAATTATAGTTCTAAGCTGGTAAGAAAAATTCAGCCTAACGGTATATTGAGTTTAGCACAATTGCTGATTTTCATAGGCTTACAAGGTATCAAATGAAATTGGGTTTAGTAACAATATTGGACAAAACTGTAACAAAAATCTTTTTTTATTGTTTACAGACATATAAAATATTGTTTGTTCAAAATTACACGGATAAAATCGAAACATTATTTTTGTACTTCACGTAGATGCAAACACTTTTAAAGAATCCACTCATGCTTGGTGATAGTAACTTTCATTTTCTAGCTTTGCTCCAATTACATTTTCTAAATGTATGGCAGTTTGTTGAAGCTTCAAATATTTAAGTTATTCCCGTCTATCTTGATCTTCTGTATTACATTAATGAAACATTAGATCTCTAAGATCTTATTTAGTTTAGAATGAAAAGCATAATTATTCTAGTAAAAAGAACATTGTTCAGTGGGCATATTCCCTAGTTATGTAAGTGTTTGGCCTTTACTCCATTGATCACGTTTGCAAAATAGTTTTTTATCGTTTAGAAAACTATAAAAGCCACTGACAAGAGTGCGAACTTGTACAATTAAACTTAAGATTTTGCCAAACACATTCAATACTTAACTAATATAGGCTACTCGTAGAACGCTTTTACAAATTTGAAAACATATCAGCTCTAGGATTGTATAGGACTATGAATATTTCATAAAGTATTTGTTTGATTTCCATTCTTCAAAATTTTGTTTTCAATTTCATTTAGTCGAACAAATGTCTTTAGCACTTTGGTAGGATGACGTAAATAATTTCAATCGGCAGCTTACTGCTTCCCCTAGACAGCATTTGAAGCCTAGTTTCATGGAATTTGTATACTATTTATAACAAATTGCTCAGTAGAGTTTAGATATTTTTAGTAGTTTCTGATATCAATGTACAAATCGATGTTTTCAGCTTGGTTTTTATAGCTGTGCATGGTTATTGCTTACAGGTGCGCCTTACACTAAGTCCTGATCCAGCATATTAGATGTAAGCTTAGACTTAGCTGTCGGTAATCTAGTTGTCATTGTCAATAAACCATGCTTAGACTTTATGACTCTGTTATTTCACAGTCTCACCTTTTTAGGATATTAAAATAGTCTGAATCTGTTTGCACAGCGTTTATGAAGACCGATATTCACATTGGAAGACCCAGTGAACAGCCATAATTAATACAGTAGATAATGTGTGATTAAAACAAGTACTTATACACATTTGTTCTTAAGTTAACACTTTATTATGACGTCCGGTAAAAAGAGTACGCTCATTTAAAAAAGGCTCTACAAATGAAAGGATCACTACCAAATGTTCAACTAGTAATAGGCTTACAGCCTAAACTCTCAAAATTGAAAGAACTTATCAAAATTTCAAATGTTAACCAACATTAATTCTAAAGAGTATTAGTCACCATTTAATTTCATTGGTAAGTCAGTTAAAAAATAGTTATTTGTGCAACTAGTGAGAAAAGTGAGCAATTGACTCACTTGAGAGAAATCCTTACTCACGAGCTGTAGGCGAGTGAGGAATGGTTTCTCGAGTGAGGCAATTGTACTTTGAACTCGAGTTGCACATTATACTTTTCCTACAGTTACCATAAAACAAATAAATTGGTGAAGAAACATAACCTATTTTTACACAGAAGTGAACTTTTAATATAACATTTAATGTGAAGTGACAAATACAACAGTACAACAGCTGACCAGCTGATTTACAACCAGTGCTGCCAACGTATTTCGCGCGCATACGACGTTGCCTGCATGTTACGCGCTCACTATTTCGTGCCTTCACGTTGCAAATCTGGAGTGAGGCAAAGTAATTAGAGTGAGACAATGTTAACATTGTCTCACTGATGAGCGAATTGGCCACTTTGCTTTCTCAAATCAGTGAGAGAACATGTACATTGTTAGGTAACTGTAGGAAAAAATAATAAAAATTATATGAATGAACTAAAAGAATGTATAAAGAGTGTTTACTTTTTTTGCAGATACACAACACCTCGACATAAGAAATTTAAAAAATGTTAAGATGTTTAGCCTCTGGATCTCGTTTATACAAATAAAATAAGGTTTTATACCTTATTATACAGTATTATAATTTAACCAAATTTATGTTAATGTTTTCGTGTTCGTATAAGTATTATTTGACGATTATTTACAACCCCGGGTATAAAGAGGATTTCGCTGACTAAATACGGACCACCGACAGTACAACAGGTATTTAACCTTTTTATTGTTTTTTAAACGTGTCTTAATGAAGTGCGTATTGACTAAAACAACAAAAACAAGTAGAACCAAATTCTTTATATCAATCAGTAAAAACAAAATCAAAGTAAACATTCTAATGCAACAGGTTACATCATTGTAAAAAATAAGGATGTGGTACAATCTTACCACCTTAGAATGTTTTAACCTCTACGCTCTATAAAAGCAAGGTTATGATAGCCGAATAACGTGGAAATGTAATCTTGAGAGAGAGACATAAATAATTCTAACCCCTCCACCAGAGTTTGAGTTTGATTGTTGTGTTTCCGGAGTGGTTTCATTCCAGCCTAACAATCTGTGGATGTTTTTAGACCAACGCTTGTATGAGAAAGCGGGTATAATGTGTATGTGTAACGTGTATACATTTCAATTGAAAACAAGAAGATACAATTAATATTTTTAAAGTGCTAAGGATTTCTAACGATCACATATGATTGTAGAGCAAACAGACATTAAGGTATGAGTTATATAAATAATCTTTTCTGATGTGATTACACAGTGATTAAATTTTCCTGAGTGACATTTCTAAGATATCTCCAAGTAAGTAACGCAACCTATACGATTTGACTGTCCATAAGTTGTTCGATCATAAGTTTTTTTTTTCGACATATTGTTGGATGTTTCTTGTGATTTTACAGTAATCTTTTACAATAATTTAAAAATAATAATTTACTACGTAGAATGCGCGAGAAAGCTAAAAAATAAAATTTTAATTTTCATATATATTATATTTTATAATTTCTTACACGCCTTAGTTCAATAAGAGGAGAGGCAATGTTGACAGTCGTGTGAAAAGTCACATCACGTTTCTAAAGAAATCTATGATAAAAACTCTTATGTGCTAAGAGCTATCTGTAGATAGTGAAACTATGATTTGTTTGCCTGTAGCTATTAAAAAAATTATATATTGGGAATCCTTGACTTACCATAAATATAACATATTTTTTGTTACATCATAAAGTTTTTCCTTTTTTTAAAGGGGGAAACAAATTAATAACATATTAATGTTGTGTACTGTGAATGCAGAGGACATTGTACAAGGTTTTGGGAAATATGCTAAATCTTTAATCAATATCTACAAAAAATTAATTGTGATTTAAATTTACTGAAAATAATCTAATGTAACTTTAACTTTTTTTACCTAAACAAAACGTGATAACAAGTTCTGTTACCTGGGAAATTTCTCCTATTATGAAACCTTATGACTTTTATTGCCATTTTCATTGAGATTCAAGGTTCATTTGCCAAGGTTTCATAATGAGATCAATTGTCTGTGTTCTTTAAATACAAATTGTTCTTAAAAATTACTTCACACCATGACTTTTACCCATGTTTACGACAAGTAGCTATCTATAGACAATTTTCACTGTATTATGCATTTCAACTACATTATTTTAAATATTGTAGTTAAATATTGTTTAAGAAAAAAAATAAAATGTTTTACATCATACTAACATATAGGTTACAGGTTTTATTTGATTAATGTATATGCCTACCTAAGGCCTCACAATCTTTTTCAAGACGCCATTTCCAAGCAGCACGCAACCTGGTACAACTCTTATCAGAAGTCTGATTCGGCACGAACTCTCCACTTGCCAGTCGTATCACGAACATAAAAGTCTTATATGACACACATCATTTCTACATAAACTTACTTAAGTATTAAAATAGTATTACTTAATATTATTACTTAAAGAGGTTATTACCTCCGTATATTTGCTAGATTGTTGTTATAACACATTATCATATTTTATATCCAAAGAAATTCAACAGTAGTGTAGGAAGTAATAATATCTATAAAATGGCTTACGTTGAACTTAAACAAAACGTGAGCGAATATTATATTCCCACTACATTAGTCTTGGGTTTTAATAGACCCAATAATAAAACCTAGACTAAATGAATTTATATAACTGAAATTACAGATACATAAAATAAAAGGTTATGCACACAGACCAACAAATAGTAACTATAAGTAAATGGAAATCTGAAATGGAGGTTGCATTGCATGGCCCTAGGAAATATAGGTGGTTACGAAGTGGCTTACCCACCTACGTAACACTGTAAGTGTGTATTTGTGGAATGGATGATATAAGGGAAGGGGGTACTTAACCAATACCATTTAAGATATTCCCGTTTAACTTCTCCTTTATTAAATTCCCTACGGGCAATTGTTATGGATTTTACCTACGACCGTTTTTTTAAAGTAGCCGTTTCAGTGCAGTTCTTAGAATTGAAAAGTATCTCATAACAGCATTGTTTACTTTCATAACAGCATAGTTTTACACATAACAACACGTGTAACGGACCAATGAGGTTCAAGGATTGAGAGAGAAGAAGTAAAATAGTAATGATTCAAAATTCAACTAATCAGCTGTTCAGGCCAATTCAATTGTTGATTGGTGCAATTAGTGTGGTTGGATACATTGCATCACTGTCAGTGGCAATGAAAGGTTATAAATGAAAACATAACTTCTTTTAGAAGTTATGAGT